ATTATTATTATTATTATTATTATTATTATTATTATTATTATTATTAAATCATATTACAAACTATTTTTGCATAGTATTAGACATTTTGGGGTTGCCATGAGGCATTTCCAACCCAGTATGTGGCACTGAGCGGCTGAAACATTTTGCCACTGCGGCTGCCTGTCGGGACCTCAAGCCCCTGTCTCCGGCAGACGCTGTGGCCTATGCTGCGCTGCTGAGGAACGAGCTGCTGGGTGCCAGCATCGAGAAGGTCAGCGACCCCCACACAGAGGACCGGAGGTTCACACAGCCTGCACAAGACACTCACAACCTCTTCCGGGTAAGGGAGTTTATACAGGACACTTAGCAGCGCACTTTGATGATGAGAAAAGGGGGAGATGAAGACAAAAAATGTATGGAGGACAGTATAGGCCAAGGAGATGGAGATGGGGGGCAAGACAGCAGATGATAAAAAATAGTCTAATCTAGTGCAAATACAATGTTACACTTTTTAACTTTACACAATACGCTCACTGTACACTGTACACACACAGTGCAGACAACCTGTTTAGTATTTTTAGTTGGGGGGGGCGGCAGCTGCTGAGAAGGGATGACATGCTGAGGACCTCTTGTTCATTTTTACTTTCTCTTTCAGTACACTGTCAACACTAAGAAGACTCCAGCTGACAACGGCAACGAGGTCTCACCTTACTCCCTGTCTCCACTGAGCAACAAGAGGTCAGCACCTGTCTGGTACCACTCCAGGCAAAGGCCTCTGTCTGCATGTGCCTGTCTGCTGAGCCTGACACCTATGCTACGGCAATCAAGTGTGTCAGTCAGTGCTGCAGCTTAAAGTGGAACCGCAGTCCCAATTTCTCAGACCGGTTATTCAATCTCAGTAACAAAATAAATTCATTGACTTCATAGAAAACATTTCTGAAATTTTTTGTGAACTTTGTGATAGTACTGTAAGTCACCCCGTTGTTGAAGACTCGCATTCGAGTTCCCACGAATTGCGACGTGACGCGGCCCTTCCTGCTCACTAGTCACCGCAATGACTAATGTAATGTGATGTACAAACGAATACGTGCGGGTTGTGTAGCAGATATTTCACTGCTGAAGTGTTCCCACGTGATCTGAATGAAGAGTTAACAAGTATGTCTGGCAGTCGAGAGCAATATTTCTATTAAATTAAAAGAGACGTATTCACAAGGCTGCTTGTTTACAATGTCATAAGACTGCAACACGTCACCGGACGTTTTGTTGCCTAGTTCTGAATCGCAGAACATGGTGCTGCACATACCTGGAAATTTCGTCTATTTTGTGATGTAAATTAGAGCTTTTCCAAGTTACTGTGACTATTTTACTTTTATTGCGGGTTGAAATGCTGATCCTTTCTAACCCAGAACTGTGAAAATGGCGCTGCAGTTCCCCTTTAACCAGCGGTCTCTCTGTCTGCAGTCACAAGCTGCTACGTTCCCCAAGGAAGCCCACGCGCAAGATCTCCAAGATTCCCTTCAAGGTCCTGGATGCTCCGGAGCTGCAGGATGACTTCTACCTCAACCTGGTGGACTGGTCTGCCGGGAACGTGCTGAGCGTGGGGCTGGGGGCCTGCGTCTATCTGTGGAGCGCCTGTACCAGCCAGGTGGGGGGAGAGCAGCGGGACGGAGGGGAGAGGTAGCAGAGAGGAGGAGCGCGAGGCGGGACTTGACGATATTCCTTTGTCCCCAAGGTGACGCGCCTGTGCGACCTGTCAGTGGACGGTGACTCTGTGACATCAGTGTGCTGGAACGAGAGGGTGAGTCTGACACAAGAAACTGCGGGCAGTTGACACATATAATACAGATAATACAAATAGTCTAACCTAGTATACACGCTATGCACTGCAAACTGTATGTAGTACATGCAGTGTAACATTGTACACTTCACACAGTACGCTCACTGTACACTGTGAACACTGGACGCAGAACTCAAATTGTATTGCTCACAGTGCTTATTCTATTGCAACTTCGTAAACTTTACACACTGCTGTTTGGTCTGTAAACAACATTTTAGCATTTGAGTATGCACGTCAGATAGAAGTTATAATAATCTCTAATTAATGACACCCTAGACATTGCCAGAGTTTTTGTAACAGAACACCAAGCTCACTGACTCATCAACTAAATCCTTCCATGTCTGATAGTGACACACACAAAGGCAAATGGTCTTGGCCTCTTGATACACCCAGACTCCAAGCCCAGTTTCACCTTGCATAGTCTATTCTTTAAGGCGTGTTGTTTCACTCATTTCTGAGTGTTACCAAGTAGTGTTATACCATAACAGGGCATGTTTGTTCTCTTTTATGGAAAACAGGCCTCTGCTGTTGGGCTGAATATGTTACATCTATGTCATGCAGTCCACTAATCATAGTTAATCCTTTCTTGACAAACATTGATTAAATTCCTCTGAACTGTGATCTTACCTTCTGTTTGTTTGTGCTTCATATTTAAATGTGTAGAGAGTGAATTAATCACTTAATCACTTAATAAATTAGAAGGTTAAGGGTTTGTAAGTAACGAAACCCTAATCTTGACCATAATCTGAACTATGACCTAGGGTTAGAATTATCTGCTAATGTTTTGTATCATCTAGCACTATTAGTAACATGTACAGACAGTTACAATAGACACCTTCATGAAAGTGTTACCGTTAACACAGTAGTTATGAGTTCAGGTGGGATTAAAAGCTGCAGACCGTGTGGCATTCAGGACTGCAGTCGTACACAAGCTGCACACAATAAACTCACTGTATACAGCACACACACTGCACTCTGCTCTCTCTAACCCCAGACCCACCACGCCTCCATCTCATTCGCCCTGTCTCCCTCCACAGGGCAGTCTGGTTGCCGTGGGGACCCATAAGGGCTATGTCCAGATCTGGGATGCAGCAGCTGGGAAGAAGCTGATCTGCCTGGACGGACACTCAGCCAGAGTGGGTCAGTGGCTGTTTGTTTATATGTGAGCCCTTGTGTCTCTTAGTGCCTCTATCCCCTCTTCTCTCTCTGGTTTTCTCAGTCTGGGACCCTCAGTTGTATCTCTTTCTTTTCTAGTGCCCCTATAGCATGCTCTCATATTCAGATTCAAAGTGCTCTTTCTGCATAACTTTAACCCAGAACATTGCCACAGCACAAATATACCATACAGGAGGACACGCATTTGGAGAAATATTTTAACCAAATTCAATGGACAAACACATTTTCAGCTCTTACTCACCCTTCCTTTCTCCAGTGCTTTTCCTCCCGCACCCCTCCTCTCCATCCTTCTCCTGCTCCCTCCCTCTCTCCACATTTCAAGTGACATGAACAGCCCTTCAGTGAGTTAAATAAAATGGTCATCTTTGGCTTCCTCGTAAGACCGAAGCTGAGGCAGTCTAAGAAGAGAAATAATTATACTAGCCGAGGGGACTTTTGTAGATTGAGCTCCTGGAGGGCCTTCAACACAAGTGACCCTGGGTTTCCACTTCCTTCCATGTAACCAGAAATGTAGGCACTCTTTTGGTCTAATTCAGCCCTGCATGTTCATATATTGCAGCCAAAGCATATTTCTGTGTTTTTTTAACTGTTCTTATAATAATGTTTTTTTGCATATTTCAACCACCAGGATTTTTTGCTGGGTGTTTATGCCGTTTTGTGTAAATTAGTTGGCTGACTGGTGTCCGTACCATACTGCCATGCAGTTAATTGAACTGAATAACAGTGTCAGATATTTATGGACAGATACTGATGGTAATTTTGATGGCGTATTTTGATGGTATTGAAAGCTAGGGATGCCTTTTCTATTTGTCCATTCACTGGTTAAGTCTCTTGAAAGCATTAATGGTCAGGCTTCAATAACGATAGATTGTGATGCTTTGTAAACTGGGACTCCTGCTTTGTGAGCCCTAGTCTTCTTGTTTTTTTTTAGAAATCTGTAATGTGGGTGTTTTCCATGTTATAGCACCAGGGCCCAGGTCTGACAGTACTGCTCTAGCACTGGCAGGCTGTGCTGCCGGGTCTGCTCCTTGGGTGACAGTAGAACCAAGTCATCTTGCAGGAACTTGGCTCGTGTATAATCAAGAGGGAGAGCGGGGAACCACCAAGGCTAGGGACAGCGACAGACGCAGGGTCAGACACTCCGGGTGGGGTTATACAGTGGGAGGCGAAACACAGAGGCCTTCCTGACTAAACCCAGCGTCTTGAGCTCAAGTCAGACTGACGTTCTTTCTAATTGCCACATTTACACTCTATACACCACCAAAGAAACAAAGGGAATTTTTTTTATGTGTTTGATTGATCTAAGAAAGGATTTGATTCCAGTTGCCATGACACCTAACCATACGTGCACATCCATCAGCAGCTGAAGACCTTTAAAAATAGGTAAATTGGACCAGTTAAGCTAATGATTAGCTTAATTACATCATTTAGAGCGGAGACAGAAGGAAAACCTTCAGACACTGCAGCTCTCTGTGACTGGGGTTTGCATCCCTGGCTTATTGTCTGTAGTGACTCAGAGGGTAAAGACTACAAACAGAATAAAAGCGGTGCGCTCAGACTCAGGCATGCAGTACAGATCTGACAGGGAAAGGACAGAGTTCTTCACACAGGGACGGGCAGCGAGATGTGGCTGCAGCCTGTATCCTGCGCTGTTCAATATCGACATCAACGGGTAACCCCCTTGCCCTCTCGCGTCTCTCCCAGGAGCGCTGGCTTGGAACGCGGAGCAGCTGTCCTCCGGCAGCCGTGACCGCCTGATCCTGCAGCGGGACGTACGCTGCCCCGCCCAGGCCGAACGCCGGCTGCAGGGGCACCGCCAGGAGGTCTGCGGACTGAAGTGGTCCCCGGACCACCAGCACCTGGCGTCGGGTGGCAACGACAACAAGGCAGGGCCCAGCCGCCTGCCTGTCTGTCTGTGTCCCTGCAGGACTGCCTGCCCGTCTCTCAGTGTGCTTTTCAGCCCGTTCTTGTCCAGTTGCCTGTCTGTCTTTATCCTGTCCCCTGAACCTCTGTTTGACAGGCGCTCTCCCTGCATGTCCTGCAGAATCTCTGTCTCACTCCCTCGTCTTGTTTCCTGCTCTAGCTCTTGGTGTGGAACAGCTCCAGCTTGGTGCCCGTCCAGCAGTACACTGACCACCTGGCCGCGGTGAAGGCCATCGCCTGGTCTCCCCACCAGCACGGGCTGCTGGCTTCGGGGGGTGGCACGGCCGACCGCTGCATCCGTTTCTGGAACACACTAACTGGCCAGCCCCTGCAGAGCACCGACACCGGCTCCCAAGTCTGCAACCTGGCCTGGTCTAAACACGCCAACGAGCTGGTGAGAGACAAGAGACAGTACGCCAGCAATGACACTGTGGAGACTGGTCCAAACACCGCAACAAACTAGCGAGAGACAGAGACACAGCCCCACACCGACAACCATTGTCAAGGACACATTGATACACTGAAATGAACCCAATATTATCTATTGCACAGCAGAAAACACTGAACATAGAGCATCCAGCCCTGATCACAAAGCATTAGAGTGGACTGACTGGAGCAAGCAGAACAGACTGTACTAATCATGGCACAAAGTAGACAACACAGAACTTAACAAGAAGTTATCAGCTCCAAGCCGTGTGTCAGACTCCGTGTGCTTCCCGTGTTGTCCCGTGTCGCAGGTCAGCACACATGGCTATTCTCAGAACCAGATCCTGGTGTGGAAATACCCTTCCCTCACACAGGTGGCCAAGCTGACTGGACACTCCTACAGGGTCCTGTACCTGGTGAGCTGTGCTGGGGGCGCCTGAAGGAGAGGGGCAGTTAAAGGGAGAGTGGCTTTGAGGGTGAGGGATTATAACGTTAGAGGAGGGTTTGAGTGGGGAGCACGCTGAGATAGATGAATGAGATGTGAGCAGCAGAGGGGGCTGCACCAGTGAGCTCTTGTAGGCTTTTCAGGTAGGGAGAAGGGGGAAAGAGCTACTCTTAGCGTGGATGTTATAAGGGTTAAGGGGTGGCTGATTAGAAGGGGAGCAAAGTCATACTGTGGGTTGTGGGTGGATTTACTCAGGTGCTGGCAGTGCTGGACTAATCCTGTTTTTATGTGGAATCACTTCTTGGCCACCCTGGAACACACAAAGGTGATTGGTAACTTTGAGACAGTTAAAGCGATTTATTTGTTTAGGCACGCCATTGGCAACATGATTTAGCTTTTTTTCCCTATCATTTCCTTTAGTTATCAATTGCACTATTTTAGTGTCAAATTTCACATTGTGCCAGCATAGACAGGGGGATCAATTGGATGGAATATCTTATTCTTCTGCACTTTACCATATTGAGGAAGTTATTCATCCACTGAAGTTTCCCTACTACTCCCCCTTTGATCCCTGCCTCTGTTGTTCTGGCTCAGGCCATCTCTCCAGATGGCGAGGCAATCGTGACAGGAGCTGGAGACGAGACTTTGCGCTTCTGGAACGTCTTTAGTAAAACACGTTGCACCAAGGTTAGTGCCTCCAACACCCAGACTGCTGTTTATTTTATAGGAACACACCTCCCTTTCAGCCGTAACCATGTGTCCTAAGCAAGCTTCGTGTACACAAGAAGACAAAGTAGGCAACGTCACTTGAAACTCATTCAAGGTTGTCATTTTTCAGCCAGCATACAAGTACACATATACTTATATCAGCATTCAGTGGAAATAGTCCAACTCGCAGGAGGCTAACTGACATTATTGGAAGACTTACACGCAGAACAGATTCAGAAGGGCCATGTTGTAATTATAAAAGAGAACCAATCAAAAGTGCAATCGAGCTAGAGACATGAACCCAAGCGAAATCATTGCAGTTTCAAGAATAGCATTTTTTAAATTTAACTAAATAGGCTCTCAGTAAATTCAACAGGGGGTGTCACGTGAAACACTGACATTTCAAGACCTACATCAAATGGAGGCTGAGTGATACACTGACAAGCTCTTAAGCTGAAAGCCTATCCAGGTTTTCTCAACTATCCAAAGCCCCTGCTGTCTGCTGGATCATGGTTTAGGACTGGAGTTGTGTGCAGAAAGTGCAGGGCTCCAGGACCCATGTGACAGTGTGGTATTGTGACAGTGACGCACTCGTTATACACATTTGCTTGTAAAACCATTGAGGCTTAAAACACACCTGTCAATTAGACAGACTTGAGAATTCCAGTGAATGGTCATTGTATGTTTGTGCCTTCTTTCTTTAGGAGTCCAAATCTGTCCTGAATCTCTTCACACGGATACGATAATCCTGGCCTGGGGTGGGGGGTCCCCGTGCTTCGGCCTGTGGACTTACAGAGGTGCATCAGCTGTGAAGACATTGTCTGACAGACAGAGCCTTAGGCCTCGCAGTGCCGGGACTCTGGAGGAGTCTGTGACTGTGGAGAGCTGCTCACTAACCACCCTAGAACAATGGACTCACACTGGGACATGCAGCCAGTGATCTATTGAATCTATTGTAGGAGTTTTATACTTTTTATTATTTAAAAAAAAAAGACAAACCTTGGACTCAAGCTCAGTTTTTTTTTTAATTATACGATGCCTTCTTAACATTGAAACATGAATAATTTTACATTTTTGTTTTACGCAAGCCACGGACCTGTTATATCACTACATGTTCTGTTAAAACCACAGCTCTGGAGAACTAACACTGCGGTCTTAGTTATTATTCGCCTATAACAAGGGGAGTCGCCACCCTGTATTGGAGAAAGGGGTTCGAAAATGGATGGTGAGATAAAGGGGGAGTGAAGGACAGACAGCTCTTACGTTCTCTCTCTGTACAAGAGTTAAGAGTTTGTGCATGCTCCATGTGGCACTGCGCCCAGTCGTTCACATGTGCTCTCTCTGTCCATTGCCATCAGTTCAGTAGGCCAGTGGGTTAGTGTTTATCAGCTCCCTGTATGTCAGAATGGTCTCCTACTCGTGACTTCTCAAGAACTTCTATGCAAAGCCGCCCCCCTCTCCCAGGGCATACCAGTCCCGTGTTTTTTTAAATTACGCTGCAGATTTGAAATTTCACCTTTCATGAAATGAGCACTTTACAAACCAACTGGGAACTGCACTGCTTATTGATAAAATAGAAGTGCTTCTAGAACTCCGGATTGAACACCCCATTATTATTTCATTGTAGTGCTGTATTTAAACACACCTACAGTACTCGGACACAGCTGTCCCAAAAGCCAAAGGCATCTCCGTGGTTATGAAATTGAGTATTTGAAATTGAAATTGAGTGCCACTGTCTTCTCTACCACTTTATGAAAGAACTGAAATACGATAATTCTGTTCATGCACTTGTTCAGTTTTCCTTACACTACTTGTTTGCCTTCATCATAAGATCAGTCTGCAGTTTCTGTCCCATATTATGCACAAGGCTTTTCCATTTTGACATTGGTACGGTTATTTAAATATGGCAACACTAATTTACAGTGTCTTCGTCTTTGGATTGGATCACAAAATTAAAATAGGTGAAGAACCTCCACCCACCACCCAAATTCAACATATAATACTTGATTTAAGGGTAAAAAGTATATACTCTGTAAAACAAAAATATATTAACATTCTTAATTCATTACTTTCATAATTTTTTGTATCACAGTTGGTTTTGCTAAATATGTTCCAAAGTAGTAAGGTAGAAGGTTTTCTGGTTTTCTAGTTTTCAACAAGGGTGTCCAGTCCTGGGGAGGCTCGTGAGTCTAGATTTTCTACATCTCTTTAAAACAGCAGAACCCAGAGAGCCGAGAGAAGCGGTTAGTGGCTCAGTTAACTGAGGTTAACTAAGTTGTTAGCTGACTTAGGCTGGTTTGTTCCCAAGTTGAAATGAAAAGTAAGGAGACAGAGATACCCTCGGGGACCAGGGCAGCCTTGTTTTTCAAAACAAGAATCACGCATTTCCTTAGAAGAGGCGTAGACTCTTCTGAGACTGAGCTGTCGCACATCTTCTGACCTGTAATGTCCATGAACTACATGGAACCCACACAAGCTTCACTTTCTTCCTTCCCCATTACCAAGACGGAGGACAACAGACTGCTGGAGACTTCTCTTGTTCTTCTTGCTCATTTGTTGATTTGTTTTGTACAAAAAGCATCACAAGAACCTGTAGACCTGGCCTGTAGTCAGACAAACCAGGCAAATTGTTCATTAGCCTTGTGCCAAATTATTTAAAACTTGATGAAGGCGGATATTAGAGATCATTTCTGTAGTTTTACTGCAGCCCACTTCGTATTTTTTAACCCATCCGCAACTGTTGTCCAACTGTTCACCGCCTTCAAAGAGCAACTGAGTCACAACCATGCAACTGAACTTAACACTACTTGTCAAAGGTCTCTGAGACATCGCCCCCAAATGAACAAGCATATCCACACCTGATAAACTGAAGGACCAAATGATCAGGGGTTCACAAGCAGGGCTATATGAACTGAGGTCGGCTCATCTGTCTCTTTGCTGTGAATTAAATGGATATGCTGTGCATGGGAGGCCTTTCCTGCACAGGTGAGTGTACGGAGTTAAACTTCCGCCCAGTACTGCTTTAGCCACCCAGTGCATGCATTTAAGAGAAAAGGTTAAAAATGAAAAAATAACATTACGAATAACAGAACAGACACTTAAGAGCTTGCTGCCTTAGATATGTTTAATAAATTAAAACCAGGTACAAAAATCAATGTACATTTTCTGTTTGCCTTTGCTCCCTTGCCCAACACCTAGTCACCTTTCACCGATTATAATCCATCCAGCGAAAAGAGAGACTACAACTCTGTATCCCTCCCCTCACTTTACCCCAGCTGTGCTCTGCGTCCCATCCCAACGTCCTGGTCAGCACTGATAGCCCCAAGGGGCCAAGCTCTCAGAAAGCAGGTCTATTCTCTTTTCCCTTTCCATCTCTCCAGCATTTCCAAACTTTCCCCTCCCTCCCAGACACAACACATACAACAACTGTTTTCGACATTTTCACAAAAGCAGGAAGCGTGAAAAGCTGTTATCAGTGATGTCACAGAACCATTCCTTGGTGCAGCGAACAATCAACAATCAAAGACACATTCGACAGGACAAGCAGGTCTGAGTCCTGTCAGACTGTGAGCCACGTCTGTGTTTTGTTCTTCAGGGCAGCAGGAGTTAGTGCATGTCGTAGACGGTAATAAACCTGCTCTTTAAACAGCCTCTCTCTTCTGGCTGTCCAGTCTCCCCCTTTCTCTCCTTGGTCAGCTGTGGAACATGCAATCTCCTCTTAATTAACATGTATTCTGAGCAAGCTCCAACAGAGTTATTAAAAACATTCAAAGTATCTCTCAATCTTCACAATGGTTCAGAAATACACCCTTGGCGTGGACAGAGGAACAGAGTGAGAACGAGAGAGACAGGGAGGCAGCGCGCAGAAAAGTCAGCATTTTTGCAGTGTTAGCTTACTGCGTCTCCATTTCAAAACAATCACATCCTTACACTGGAGTCCTTTTTTCAGTCAATGATATGCCAAAAAATCTTTTTTCTTGTCCATCACTCCCCCATTCTCTCAAGGGGGTCTAGTAGCAGCAGCAGGAGCAGCAGCATTGTTTCAAAAGAGTCTGTCCAATTATTATTTTTAGAACGAAGAAGACTAAGGGTATAGAAGTATCATATTGATGCATCTCATGAAGGAAGAGCTTGGAAGGGCAGCACAAAACTGGGAGCGAAGGTGCATTTCACAGACAGCATGCCTTACAGGGGGAAGAAGTGCCAACAGGCCACATTTCAAACCAAAGAAAGCTCATCATCTCGCAGTCTGGCTCTTCATTCAACAAAAGACGAATAAAAACAGAAACACAACAAAATGAAGAGGAGGATGAGATCTCTAGCCTGGCGGTTGTTGGCGCGTCTCGGCCGGGACATGAAGCAGCAGGCCATGGCCTGGACCAGCCCCCTCTGTCCATGTCTGTGCTGTTTTTGGCCATCTTCTGCCCAGGCGTGCCTTATGTTCTCTAGCGCCGCACTCGCGTGCAGCCTGGCTCCAGCGGAAATCGTCCAGGTGCCTTAGTCCTGCGCTGGTGGGTCAGGGGTTGAGGGGGAGTCGGTTCTGTTGAGCTCAGGTGGGGTCTGGGGTCTGGTTGACCTGGGTGGAGCCAGGGTCCGGGAGTGCCCGGGTCAGTAGTCGGCAGCATACTCGGTGCCGTGCAGTCCGCGGCAGAGCAGCGTGAACTCCTTCACGATCTCCTTCACCCTCCGCTTGTTCACGCGCTCCCTGAGAGAGGCAGAGAGAACACAGAGCGCGCTCTGAGGCCAGGCGGTAACAAGAACGCCTTGGGCCCACATCTCAGAGGGGGCCGAGTCAGAAAGAGAGAGAAAGCCAAGGTGAAAGAAAGGAAAGAATCGGAGAACGGCCTGCGAGGACAGAGGGCCGAGAGAGCAAAAAGAAAAGGGAGAGAGAGTGGACGCGGGGCAGCACGTGGGCTCTGGTCCTGGTGTGAAGTTACCTGAGGATTTGCTGGCTGAAGGTGTCTTTCTGCTCCGTGGAGACGCGCGAGGAGGGAAAGCCCTGCGCCTGCAGTGCCTCCTTCAGCCACAGAGCCAGGCAGTTGAAGCAGTGCTTGTTCAGAGCAAACAGCACCTCTGCAAATTGGTCCATCAGGCTGCGGGACGCCTGCCCTCCGACAGCCTGGAGCATAAGACAGGAGAGGAGGAAATGGGTCACATCTACTCCATTAGAAACATAAGACACAATAGGGACACCTGGGGTTTTTTTGGCTTATAAATTGATAAAAGGGATCATTTTAATTGTTCAAGGCATCGAACCATACAATCTAAAAGACATGATACACATACCATACCTGTACAGTACATTGTTTCCTCTACAGTGCCTGTTTTTTTAATCAATCTTTATTGGTTTTTCCATATTAAATATGAAATGAGAATGTACAAACAAGAAAAAAAAAAACAATAATAAGGAAGAATGTTTGACAGTTTGCATCTGTACAAAGAGCTCATACAATGGCAGTGATTCAAAACACAAGTCACAGAGGTGTTTGTTTTTTAACATAAATACATGTGGTATACAAGGACAGTGCCTGTTTTGGATGTACTGTCCCCTATCATGTGAATCTGTTGCACCCTCAAGCTTCCTGAACAGTGCTTGTATCGCACACATTAGCCTCGTCTGCTACACTGTGCCCAGGGAGAAGGCAGTGGTCCTGTCTCGGACTGCGCAGTCTCTGCCTCACCTCCAGCACGGCCTGCAGCAGCAGCTTTCCGTCCTCCTGCACCACTTGGCCGATGGGGGGGGTATCTGCGCAGTGGGGGAGCAGCTCCGTCTGGGACAGTGGGACAGTAGGACAGTCAGCTTTCCGGTCAGACACACACACAAAGGCAACATGGCTATCCAACAGCAAGGGTCACTACTGCATGCGCCTGCTGATCTCCAGAAAGAGAAAGCACGACAAGCTGGAATTTTTCTTTCCCTCAGGGACGAGACTGCTCTGTGTTTGGAATCGACCAATGTTTAAAGAAGAAGCTCTGACACGGAGAATAAAACTGCGTCAGCACAGCAGTATGGCATTAACCAATCCTTATCTGGGAATGCCAGATCTATGCAATCTCTATTGTTCATTTGTGGAAAGTGGTTTAAAATGCACTAAAATGGGGGATTGGACACTGCAGAACATACAGCTGAGGGCACAGAAAACGCACAGGCAGAGGGACAGGACTGTTGTGTAACTCACAAAGAACAGACAGGTGGACTTCACCGTGGGAGCCTCTGGGAACTTGAGTGACAGCACGCCTGAGGTGGAGAAAGAGAAACCGGTTAGAGAATGGAGAAATACTCGCTAAACTGAGATACTCAGTGTCCAAACACATTTTGCTTTAAACACACACTCGCACTCATCTGCAGGCACTGCACCAGGTATCAACCATTATTGCAAGGTCATATATTGCAGTGGTCTATTCTCTATTGCACTGCACTCTTCAGTACTGCATAGTGTTATACTCTGGTGTATGGAGTCTTAATGTGATGACCTTTCCTTTTATTTATAGTGCTGTAGCACACCAATGGTCCTCCCCTATAGTGCTATGCTACTGCCTAGCATTGCTCTGTGCTGCAATGAGGTGTGTTTCTCACTGTTCTGACGAACAGCCCAGTGTGTGTATGGTGTGCCAGGCAGCACACAGGTGTGCAATACTCACCACAGTGGAACACAGCTTTCACATCAAGATTCTCAGACAAGAATAAATCGGGTTTCCTTTTGAGGGCCTACAAAGCAGACAGAGTGATTGAACAGGGCAGACGGTGCCAACCCCCCCCCCCCCCCCCCGTAGTCCTGCGAGCCCACTGTGAGAGATACCCCTACCCTTACCCCCCCACCCCGAGTGCACACTCACACGCCACCCCCTACTCTCTGCCCTACTTACCTGCCCTCACCTTTACCTGCCTGCACACCTCCCTTCTGTACAGACACTAACTGGTGCTCTTCGTTCGAAATAAAACAAACCAATATAAAAATCATTAAATGCAACAACAAATCTGGAAAAAACAGACTGCAGAACTAAACATCAAAATTTTAAATTAATTAAAAAGGTATGATGGTTTTTCTTTTTCCCTCATTGGTCAATTTCAGACTTTTTTTCCTTCTTCTTTAGGATCAAATATGCAACATAAACCAGTAACATGTAAGGAAAAGACAACTGATGTTTTTAAGGAAATTATTTTGAATGACGGGGAAAAAGTTATGAATACCAGATTTAATTCAAAGGCAGAAAACAAAGAAAAACTGAAAAACTGAAAGAAAAGGGGGCGTATCGATTCAATTGAATTAGTTCCTTCATCAATGGACTGATTTGACAAATTTTAGCTGCCCGTGATTTGGGTGGGGATGGGTGAGGTTCTGCCCAGGCTGGGAGTACGGCTCTGCAGTCAAACACACCCACCTAACAGGACTCTGCTGGATATCTCTCTGCCGACTGTGAGAATTCTCCTAGCACCAAAGCTGCTGATCCTGAGTAGGTCGCCACCCCGATACTGACCAGTGACATCTGCCTCCTTTCCTGACCGAGAAGTGATTTTCTAGTAGATTGTGTTTTTTGTGATGAAAGTTAACCTTTACCACAGAAATTCTGCTGTCCTCTTACCACATCTTTGCTGTGGACTACTGTGGTTCCTGCTGGCCTTCTATGATCTAACGCTCGACCGTGCCAACACCATGATGTATTTCTATAAATTACAAAACCGATATTTCATGAAGGCTGGTTCCAATTTGTCTGAAGCATTTTGCCCCTACTGACAGAAAACCAGCATTATAAGAAGAAGCCATATACTGTACGCACATTAAATCAAACTTAAACCGGCGTGTGGGATATAGCCAATAAAATCAGGCTGAAAACAACAGATCTGCTAACGGATATTTTTTTTCTGACGAAGACCCAGCCTCAATGACTATGCTAGTGAAAAGAAAGGTTTGATTTATTCCAGACTGAGTTCAAGACACCCAGTGTCTTTTACGTTCCTCTCCTGCTGAGGAACTCAATTCCCTATTGAGGTGCTATGGAATTCATAACAGGCCAAAGAGAAAGCAGGACTGCAAATGCCCATGGCCACAGATTTCACTCTGTCCCACGCGGTGCCCAAGTCACTCGTCCCTGTTCGCACCAACAAGAATTGCAGGGTGCTAGACGAGCTGGCAGACTTCACTGCCCCCGGCAGAGAGGCAGACTAATTAAGGACTGCTGGTGGCAGGACTGTGGAAGCTTTTTAGGTCAGAGTGAAACTTGCTCCTAATAAAATTCCAGAAGTACCGTTTGTCCGATTTCTGTACTCCAAAGCGACGTGGTTATCTTAGGAACATTTAAAACCCTAACATCAGAAAACTTCACATAGCAAAATATTTTCAAAACCCCTTTAAGAGCTACGGGATTCACATATACATCCAGTGCAAATAACTCTTTTCCTCCGCTAAACGACTACAGTCATTTTCCGATATAAAGACAACAGCAATTGTTCCGTCATTCTCTGGTGGGCTCCTTCCTAACACATACTGAGCTGAGCTGCAGTTAAACCCAAGACTTCTCCTTAAGGAGAACCTCTGCAGCTTCCTCTGGACTCCTGCTAGGGGTTTAAATGGCTGTAGAATATCATCAGAACCAAGCTCAAGCAAATGATCACTGTAGTCCCAGGCCTGGGCAGGCAGAGTGGTAGTTTAACGCCCACTGGACTTCCCACCTCCACCCCCTGTATTCCATGTGGAGCATCGACCTGCCCCAAGGACTTTGAGGTAGGGCTGGGCTGTGACCCCCGAAAGCCCAAACTTGCCCCCTCTCCCCCATGCATGGGCTGGAGACAGGGCCACGGGGAGGGACTGAAGCAGAGAGAGAGAAGAGGTAGGAGAGAGAGAGAGAGAACTGAAAGTGAATGAAATAAGAAACCAAAAACACACCTGAGCTTGGAGTTGCATAAATGAATCAACAATATCAGGATGATCCCTGGGCCCTAAAATATAATAAAGATGTAACTTAAGAAATAATAATAATAATATACAAACAGCAACTTAACAGATTTAACAGTCATGTGGAAACAAAAAAAGCATCGAAATAATTTCACAAGTGAGGAAAAAAGGGAAGAAAGAGGGACATGTAAAGCTTGAAGCAGTCTAAAGAAAACAAACATGAATCCGTTCGGAAAAATAAAGAACAAAAGAAAAAACTGAACCCAAATGAAAGAAAAGTGGGGTTTGGAGTGTGAACCCAGGAGGCACCTGCTACTGTGGAGTCTCAAGCCCTCCGCCGCCCCACCCAACCCCCAAAACACCCTCACCCTTTCCCACCCATGACCTCCCACTCAGAGACTGCACTCCTGTCCTCTTCCCAGCCCCTGGTCTCTACACTCCCTGTGCAAACCCCAAGCCCTCGAGGAGAACACCTCAGGACCTGTCAGAACGAGAATCAACTCATCCCCCAGTGCGCATTTAACGTACCACACATGACAACACAGGAGGCCACAGGAACACCTTACAGCTTCACTGCCTCCATACAACAGCAAGAACAAACAAAGATCCTCCGTGTATTTCCAGACCTAGACATGAAGTCAGTACCTTTCTGGGATGTCCAGGATGTTCACTGTACTGTAAAGACCCAACTCTCGTATGTTGGCTTCAGTACATTGGTTATGCAAACCAGGGCAACTAACATCACACAACACTAGTAAGAACAGCTCTCGTGTTGAAGTCATTCATCCTCATTGCACCACTGCCTCCTCTGTGAAACATCTCTCTGTTCTCAGCCTACCTACAAGGAATCCCATAAGACTCCCACTATATAGCAGCTTCACATATTACAAGCTGCATACTTCTATGTGCATTAAGTGGATGCCTGGTACAAACTATTTGAAGCTTGTTCCTTTATTTTCAAGAAATGTCAGTCAGCACAGGGAGCTACAGCTCGTAAAATCTAAAATGAAATCAAATTCTATGCAATGGCAATCTGTTACCATTCCTAGACTATCTGCTCCTGTTCCTGCTGTGAGTCCATGTCACAGCTTCCATCTTGCAAAGCAGACGCAAGTAGAAATTTGCTGTAGAAATGCATGTAGTCTTTTGGCACACATGCTGAAGTCCTCTCTGGCCAGCAGGGGTCACTATTGTATTAGCTGCTGTTACATTCCAGCTCTGGACCTCGAGAGCCCCAGTCTAGGACGTTTTAAAGTAACCAATAAATCATCAATTTCTAAAGATTTGGCTCAATTTAACCAGTCAATTGAAAAGGTCATTTGCTCAAACAGGTAATTGAGAGATCATATGGGAACACAACCCTTCCCCCGTAAAATAATTCACTTAGATGAAAAATAAAACCTTCCTATCTACCACCTTATCTACTGCTTTAGAGATCCAAGGCCAGTTTAGCAAAAGAAAACTATCATTTAAATCTTACTGTCTCATTCAAGGCCCCACAGTATTTCTTCAAAATATTAATTGAGAATTATCCAAAACAGTAATTCCTCACATAACAGCATATCCGTGAACCTGAAATCATGATTAATAAAATTGTTTAATGAGGGAACAATTTTCCCTTTGAAAATAATGCAAAGGATAAAGGTTGTCCTCTTGGCTGTCATCCCTTTCTTGTTTGTGTTACAATGCGTTTGCTTGCTTGTATGTGTCAGTCGTTAGTGTATTAACACTGTATGTTTGTTTGTATTTTCTCACCTGAGTGTCTTCAGGTGTGTCTGCATCAGCAAGTTTCCTTAAAAAGTTAAGCTTGACAAAATCGACCCACCTTAAAGCATACGTTTTACAGTATAATGTGAAAATAATGAATGAAAAAATATATGGAATGACACTTTTTTTCTAACAGTGGAAGATATTTATTCTGGCCTCGTCAGAGTCAAAGTGTGGGTGATATCACAGATTTGTTCATCTTTGTACGTTTTATTATTACAAGTTTCTCTCATAATGTTACAAGTTTCATTTGTCTGTTTATTTGCAGAATCACCGGTATCACCTTTTGCACACTTGCTCAAGGTAAAGCATAATAATTTACTGCATACAAGATGCATATGAACCAGACAACATCGTGACCTTCTGACTCAAAGGCGAACAAAACACTGAGAGAAAAAAAGTAATGAATTCCACCTCTCGGGTGAATACCCACAACCTGTTCTAAGTACTCTAACAGCAAAGTAGTCAGCGCTGCTAGGAGGGCAGTGCAATTAAGGTGAAAAATGTTTCTTTAAAAAGTTTGATTGCAAAAGGGTGTTATGTGAGGAATATCTGTATGTCTTGTCTGAGAAGCCCGCCTAGTATTGTCATTAATGAGATACCACAGTCAGTAAGTTTTGGCACTGACTGATACATTCACAGAGCCTGATTTGTAAATTGGTAGAAGGCACCTTAGTAAAAAGAAAAAAGGGGACATTGTCAGTGTTTCAAATACACAAATCAATTTCTGTCTTTTGTTGAGAATTGTCTGATTGCTACACCTTGCCTGGGAACTAGATCGTAGCTAGAAATAGAGCTGGTGGACCAGTAGGTGGCACTCTTTACTCTCTCTGGACCAGAAATCCTTAACCGTGACAGACACATGGTGACAGAGATACAGGTTTTTCAGAGATGTTAGCCTGAGTTCCTGTCTTTCGAGACTGAAGTCATTAATGTTCCAAAGCATTTTTTTTTGCAGAACTACTGGGTGAAAACCCCAGTGCACCTCTGTGTTAACTCAGGTTTCTCATGTCCCTGCCCCTGCCAGCTCCATGTGAGGGTCAGCTCAGCTGGGGCTGTGCTGTGAAGGACTGAGATCCTTGCATGTGATGAAAGCTCTGCAAGGGTGAGTGTTCATGGTTATTATAAAACAGGAAAATCTGCATCAGCAGGCGGTAATCTAGAGACGACCGACAGAGCCTCCCCCTTATACTCCATTTCTGAGCCCCCATGAGCCTCTCCCCCGACACCCCCCAACTCACTCCAGAGCCCCAAACCCAGCCTTGGCCTGTACCTTGCTGGAAGAGGGTGAGAGTGACAGAGGTGACCAGCTCGAACAGGGCTTTGATTGGGGGGAAGTGATCCGTCTCGCTGGCGAAGATGTGAACCATCTGAAAGACAAAACCACGCAAACAGCGCACAAGAGAGCAGTCATCAGGGCTGCAGGACAGAAAGGCTCAGGGCTGAGCTCAAACCCTTGCATTCTGAAAACCCCAAACCTGATCCTACAGTGCAGTTTCCCTGGCCCCCACAAACCACCCAGTATCACAACACTTCTGTGACACAAAGCTTGCGCTAGAACTGTCACAGCATAGGCATTACTGCAAAAACCCATAACAGCACATGCTTATCTATATAATTACTGCTTCCCCTGCTGCAGGGCAGACCAGTCACTCTGTGGCCCATCAGAGCACACAGCAGTTTCTTTGATTTTACTGTCAAGATGCTATGTAGTATTGAGTGACATGTTGCATGCAGCATTATCTACATAAGACGCCCCTTCAAATCCCTCTTAATCAAGTTCTTAATCAAGCACACGGTCTGTTGAAGAGATCCACTTAAGAGGATTACAGTTCAAGAGTTTGCTTGTTTATTAAGATAAGATCACTTTATTGGCCATATACAAATATACAAGTTCTTGTATTAGGAATTTGTCTTGTTCTAAAACCCCAACTTGTTCTCCATGAGACACACAGACAGGGAGAGAAGTTTGGGGTCTGAGCGCAGGGTCAGCCATTTATACGGCGCCCCCGGAGCAGTTCTGGCTAAGGGCCTTGCTCAGGAGCCCAACAGAGTAGGATTCCTCTGCCAGCCGCAGGATACGAACCAGCAACCTTCCAGCCACAGGCGCAGATCCTTAGCCACAGAGCCACCGCTCCAATCTGTTAATCTCTTGTTATTCAGCAGACCAAAAAGCAAAGCAAAGGAAAATGTACCCTTGGCTTCTCTTTCAGCCAGTAAACAAAGCGCCTGCGTTAATCAGTGCTGTGCCCCTTCCCCACTATGGGGGGAGGAGGTGGCAAAGCCGCACCTGTCGGGTGAGGTCCAGAGCAGAGGCCTGCGGGATGGTGCTGTACATCTGGCCCAGCATCTCGCTCAGCTGGGACACCATGGGGGCAAAGTCATGGAGCAGTGTCTTCACGGACTTCTCAAAGATTGCACACACCGCCTGCCACACACACACAGCCAGGGAGGAGACTGAGGGAAAGAATTTCTCCAGCTCGATTTACGGCATTGAACACTGCACATGAATCCATTACTGCTAAACGACTCCACACAATTAATGTGCTGAAAACAGCCAAATTATAGATCAGGGGCATTACAATCCAAGTGAGAGATCAGTGTACAATTAAGGCCCAAGAACAAAAATTGTGTCCTATACTGTATGTAGGACCCTTCCAAATTCAAGGTTACTTTTTATACACTTCACAGTCAGAACGGCTGATTTTCACAGTATTGGAACGAAACAGGGATAAGCATTTAAATATGGCAAAAGAAACAGTTAAAGCTCTTAGGGATAACAAAAGCAAACATTTTTAAGTTAATTTCAATTGCCATCAATACACAAATTAACTTGGAAAATGGGTTATTGATCGCATCCCGAAGTCCGCAAGTGAATGTGAAAATCCTGCACAGGTGTCTCTTATTGTTCCCTCTCTCCTTGATGAAAATTGCTGTCCGTATTCAGACGGAGCTCGATAAAGCTGTCAAGACTGCCTTCAAACCGACTTCAAAACCACTGCAGGTCGGACAAAAGAGTCTGCCAGCAGCATCAGCAAAGCAGAATTTGGCTCCCTAGCACTTTCACACGGTTCGCTGCAGCAACACAAAACTTTTTAGATTGATTTCAGACACTCAATTTAAATTACTTTCACTCCTGTTCACATAACTGTTGACACGGAAAAATGAAATACTGCAAGGTGCCGGCCAGGATCTACCGATCAGCAGAAACAGTCTATGCGGGCACTTGGTGCTGCCAAATGTCAGAGTGAAGTTCACGATGGGCTTTAAAAAAACACTAATGTCATTAAAACATGAAACCTGGAAAAAAGACTTCCACTGGACTGCAGTGTAGCAAAGGTCTTCACAATGAAAACCATGATCTGCTGTAATGCAGGGAGCATCTTACCTATGGATTTGAAACAACCATAAATTACATACGATCTAATTTCTAATTTTAAAATGATTTTTATTTTAAATACGATTTTTGTGCTCATGCTGGCATGTGTACAGGCCTGCACCAGGAGCTTTTGTGAGGGCTGTCTCAAAAAGGATAGAATACATGCTTACATTCATGTGCTCTTCACAAGAAAGAATGGCCATGTCCACATCTTCACACCACGCCACCACTGTCCTACTGAAGCAGTCAGAACAATACCCTACAGATGCTCTCCTATCAGAGGTAAAGAATACACTGCAAGGCTCCTCATTCCCAAAAGAAAGACCCATCTTGATCGTTTTGTCCTGGCTTTGACAGGCTCAGGTCCACTTCAGATACAAATGAAACTGCCAAATCCACAACTGTGATCTGGGGATTGTGGGTAGATGCTCTCCCAGAATGTCCTTCTAACTGCAGGACACACACCTGTGCAGGAAGTGCTCTCTCTGGGGTGTTCCGTCAGTTCTCCACTTCCTTCTTGCGCAAAAAAGTCTTCACTATGGACAATGGGTCAGCTGTTGCCATGGACTTCTGGATTTACATCCAGTGTAGGCTGTGAACAGCTGATGGCCTGTCTGTACACACTTGTACTCCGGACTATGACCTTTGACCTCGACATAATGCACAACCTCTCATACAATCTATGACTACTGGAATTATGCTCATCCCAAGATTTTGGGAAGCAGAGCAGACACAGGACCGCAGGCCTGTCCACGCAGGACAGCGGAGATGAAAGCAGACTCACCTCAACCACCTGCGAGTCATTCAGCCATTTACTGAGGACGGTCTGTATCAGAGCAAAGACCTGCTGGAGCACAACCACCACCTGCGAGCACGAGAAGAGAAAGGGGAGGGTGAGAGAGGGCAGGCAGAACGATGACGAAAGCGGAAAGGAGGAAGGGGGGCTACCGGGTTGGGGCCGGGCTCAGGGGGCGCGGTTTTGACAGGCGGGGCGCCCTCGCCTTCCTCCTCCTGCCGCGTCACATCCAGGGTGGTGAACAGGTTGGACAGCAGACCCAGGATGTGGATGATTGCCAGCTTGTTGGAGGGGTTAGGCTGCAGAGACAGAGAAGGACAAGGAGTGAGGAAGGAGAGAGGACACAGCACACAAGAGGCAGGACAGAAATGGTCAGAGAGAGAAAAGTCTCCATCGTGATTACAGCTTGAGCCTGGTCAGCGCTGGCATGGGAGAGCTCTTGGGAAAACCAGGTTAGCAGTTTAAGAGGTGTCGGTGGAAGTGTAGCTGGTGCTCTTCCTTCTGGACTACACTTACAAAACTGTGTGATGGTGCACAGCGGAAAACCAGTTTGGGGGGTGGGGGCTGTTCTACAGCAAGTGATGACATGGGTCCATTCTTATATGTAAAGCAGTCCAGAGTCTATTGGGATTAAAGTGCTGTGTAAATCCAATTATGATCAGAGAGAAGTGGGCAAGCACCTCTTGCTGACAATTTTCAGTGCTGCCTGTGTGCTTGTGTGTATCTACTGACACGGGAGGCACAACTCAAAAAGTTCATTCTTGGCAACTTGATGCCTGCAACAGGGACAGTGGAGTGCAGTGAAGACAACTGCCCATCTACAAAACATCCCATGGCATTAATCTTCTGATTTTTTATTTTTAGATTTTAAAAGACTTTTTCTACAAGTCTGATGTTTCGACCTTGATCTGGGCTTCAGACTCCTGAATCTCTACAGTAGACCTGTAGAACGTAACCAAAAAGCAATCACAGAAAGTGCAGGTTTAGAAATGTTATGTGACCTTGACCACTCTTCACTGGCACAGAGTGACAAATGAAATTCAGTTCCATCTTCAAGCCCTATATGTGAAAAAGATCTCTCTGCCTGATCTCCAGATACACACTCATAATTGTGATTTCTACAGCTGGCTCATCGACATCCGTGCTGAGATTGACACAAGGCAGAGGTTTATAGAGGACATGAACCTTGTGAAAGCTTGCACTTATATCACAACTCCCCTGCACATTGCACACTAATTAACCTTGCTAACCAATTACTACAGCAAGCGATGGCATCAATAGCCTAGTATGGTACTGCCCAGAGACAGCAGGGAGGAGCACAGTAAGCATTCAGAAGTGAATTTCTTGTCGATTTCATTTCTGGTGACAGTGGGTGTTGAATACTCTCTCAGTCTCTCTCAGAGAAACACTCCCATAACCCCCCGAAGAGGTGGCTCCCTACTGTGAGGCCAGCAAACAGAGCTGATGAGTGATGGTCACAGGGCACGTATAAGTGTGTTTATACATTCTCTTCCTGGGCGACATGCAGGGTAGGGAGATCAGCACAGCTGGCGACGAACCCCAGCATGCAGGCAACCCTGCACCGCACACCCTCCGCCTGGTAATGATGGGCACTGTCAGCTCCCCCACGCCCATGCTCTCTCGACACCTACTGTCCGCGACTGCCCCTGTCCCCCCGAGCCCCAGCACTGAGCTAGCAGAGCAGGCAGGAACAACATAGCTAGGCCATGCACAATCACAGGCAAAGCAGGAGAACGAGTCCTAGTTCTAATCTTCATGTTCAGAAAAGAAGAGAAGCAAAGTAAACCCTTCGATCACAAAAATGGCAGGAAATTAGAATCCAAAAAGATCTCGGCAAACGGTGCCTTGGCAGCTACGACTGCCCACACAGTGTCCCCATGATTGGAGAACACCGAGACTCCCCCAGGCCAGGGGAAGGACTCGGGAAGGAGACGCATGATGGACTGATGTTTTCTGCCAGTAGACAGGCCTTCCCCACCTACAGCATGCAATTAATTTTTTTTTGCAATCTAGAGTAGCAAAATATTTATTTGCCTTTAATTCTCATTAAACTGGAATAGCCAACTGTCATTAAACTGGACTCCATGCCAAAGCCCTCCTCTCTAACCTGCCCCCGAGAGATACCACCCGGGACGCGTGCACTGGTGAGCCATCTGCCCTTGTTTTTTAATGCCCTCTGTGGACGCGAACAGGAAGGTCTTCATTGTCATGGCTGGGCAAAAATCTAGACAGCGGTTCGAGAAGCATGATACAGGGGGAGTTGGTGTGCAGCAGGCTGACGATTCCTCCAAACTAGTCACTTCTAAACTCCTGCACAACCCTTGCTGAACTGCCATCCAGGGAATTCCAAGCCAAGCCAGACTACAGCAGGACATGTCGAAGTTGATGCCTTTTTCTAAGCGGTAACCGGGGTGTTCATCAAGTGATGGAACTGGCCAACGTTGCCGGAGAGGTCTTATGGTGTGGTCACAAGGTTCAAAGTTTGTGCTGGGGCTTCGAGAGAAAGTTAAGGTTTCTAGTTGACAATTAGGGCGGAGGTTTAGGTCGACGGCCAGTACAGCTATGCAGTCTCACCGTCTCATCAGCCAGCTTCTCCAGCTGCTGGATGTAAGGGGTGATGAGAGAGTGCAGGTTCCTCAGGATCTCCTCCACTGGGAGTGCGGAGAGCAGGAATCCCAGAGCCTGCATCAGCCACATGCACTGACTGGTCTGTACAGAGAGAGGAGACTGGATTTTAAACCCTGATTAGGATGTACAATGAAATACAGATGTGAATTAACACATACATTATCTATGCAGGTGGATGTTAACACGCACAGGTTTTGCCTGCTGAACCTCCTACAGTCTCCAGAGACCAGCTACAGGGTCTTCAGCTGGGGGACCACCATTCATTGATGCCTCACCCCAAATCCCAGTACATCTCCTAGTGGCGGGGCAGAGACAGGGACGTCTCCCTGTCACCCTCTGCAGCTGGTCTCTAATTAGGGGTTTTGGGCCCCCAGCTAAGTGACTCGTCTTTCCACAGAGATACAGATCGGGCCTTGTCTGATCCGAGAGGGGTTATGAACTGCTCGTTCAGATAAATGGGGCTGAATTCACACACTGGTCTGGCCAAGTGATCAAGAGATGCAGAGACGGAAAGAAAGTCAGAGACAGAGATAAAGAGAGCTAGGGGGTTTAATTCACTGACCTTGTGGATCTGTTTGATGAGAACCTCCTGTGGAGACAGAGAGAGAGAATTTAACTTACTAAAACGAAGTATCAGGACTTGACATACAACACCCAGAACTCACAATATATACAACATAACACTAAAATACAACAAAACGCTCTCAGTACTCACACAGTACAGTCTAAAACAGCAAACACTGCATACCTGAGAGTACTAGAAATACACCTGAAAAATTCAATTCTAATACAACCCTCGAAATCAACTCAGCTGAAACACACGAGACACAACCATTAACAAACACTAATCGTTAAAACAAGCAGCTCTACTACAAAACAGCACCAAAGCCGCTCTGTGAGCTCCAGTCCGACCTGTGAGACAGCCACAATGTTGGCGGCGTAGGGCGGGAGGTCATGTTTACACTCCCGGCAGATCTTCTTCAGGGTGGACACACTGGACACGGAGAGCTCGGGGTTGCCCAGGGCGTGCAGCACCAGGGGCAGGACGCTGCTCAGCATCACAGGGTGGTCAGCCAGCCACTCCGCCAGAGCTCCTGAGGCGGGGTGGGGGGGGCGTCAGGGAAGATGGAAGGGGCAGACAAGAAGAAAGTCAGCTCATTTCAGAGGGGAGGCAGAGGCAGAGGATGGCTAAACAGTCACGTTATTACAGTGGAGTAGAGGGGAGGCAGAAAGGTGCCTACAGCAAAGGGATACAAAGGTACAGAGCAGGGAACGGGTGCCAGTCACGATGGTGTAGCGGGACAATGTAGTAGAGATATAAAGACAGCAGGTACAGTACCTATAGTAAACATGACGGTATCTGCGAGCTGGACGTTATTGATGCTGATGCGAGGGATCAGCCCAATCAGTCCGGGGATGACGTCAGAGTAATTCACGTCAATCGTCTCGGCAATGGACTGGAATCCGTACAGCAAAGCCTCCGTGTGCTAGACGGGCGGACGGAGAAAATCAGAAGGTAGCTCCGAAACAGCGGAATTACTGCTTGACATTAATTTGACTCATACAAAATGTCATCGTTTTATTTCGAGGGACTCTGTTCCATCCCATCTGCTAATGGAGTTTTGTTGGGTTTTTTTTTTTGAGGGCAGTGGGGATGATGGTGGGTGGGGGGGTTGGTCCACTGTTCCATCTTTGTAGGGAGTGATTTTTGTAACCGATTTCCTACACACACAAAGTGTGTCTAAAATTGAGCTGAACCAGCAGCACCCCCAGCCACTGGCCCGAGCGCAGGGGTCCGAGAGCAGCAGACAGCGGCCGAGCTGACCTGCCAGGAAGAGGGCTGCTCTGTGTTGGTCAGCAGTCTGCCCAGCTTGTCGTACAGGTTACTGAGCAGCTCCACGCCCAGCATCTCAAACACGTACATCAGGGTGTCCGAGATATCCACCCTGCAACACACACACACAAGAAGCACGTTACATAATACGCAGGTCGCAACGACAGCCTCTCGGCCACACGCCGGAAAGCGGAGTCCGACTGGAGAAAAGGTGCCGATCAGAGCTTGAAAAATAATCCCATCTTGTTGCGGGAATCATCATCAGCAAACCCATTTTGTTAATGGGAAGAAAATGAAATCCCATTAACTGGAAGAGCTGGAAAATACTTAAGATGTTAACAGTATGCTCATGCATCATTTTCATCTTGCTGACAATGTGGGAAAGGAATAACGTTGGGATGTACAGTTGAAAGTGTCGAATTTAAATAAAAAGATGTTGGGTTAAAACTGCACAAAAGTAGTTAAAAGAAAATCGGTCCAGAAAGTGGCCCCACCAGTCCCAGGACTTGGAGGAAGTCTTTTAGCAGGGACGTCCAGTCCTGGCCCAGAGGGGACACTGTGCCTTACGATTTTCACTTCAGCCAAGTTCTTAAACTTCTTATACACTGATTTTCTTTCAATTTTCTATTTCAGTTAAGCCTTAAAATTCAGTTTCAGTTCTTACATCATTGAATGGAATCAGTATTTCAACCCTGTACTAATGTTTGAGTTTCAGAACTGCCCATGTTCAGGTACATTGCCTGGAATGCAACCAAGTAGACCTCTGCAGGAGGGGGAAAAAAAACTGAAGCCGACAAGAAGCAGCAGAACGAGACCCTCGATCAATCAGCTGTGAGCTAGATGGACTGAAAGGTCTCCTCTCGTCCACAGACTTATGTTCTGGTGTCGTTTCTGAGCAGCGAGACAGAGCGCGTCACACACATCATCCAGCTTCACTGCAGGGAAGGGCATTAATGGCTGACCTGCCCTACCACCCCCCCATCACTCTAATGTCTTGCTGGGGAGAATCAAATATTAATTGATTTCTTTTTTAAAATTCAATAAAAAATGCAATTGGGGGGGGGGGGGCTTCATACAGTAAAAGCCTCTGCTCAGAGCACAGTCAGAATGAAAATAACTGGACCATTAGAAGTAAGAAGAAGTTAGATCAGGGAGCTGTGTCAGTGAGAAAGCAGCAAAGAAACCAGAAAATTCTACACTGAAAACAAAAAACAGAAAAAACCCGTTTTAGCTGTAGATCCCTCTACAGCTTTGTGCACATCAATGTTTTGGTGCACCTGAAGAAGCCTCCACAGCCAAAACTGCTTTTAGTCTTTCATCAGCTTGGATTTAACTTCTGTAACAAAACATCCTTTTATAATTTGTCCTTGCGATAAAAGTAAAAACAAGTAGGAAAACAGGATCGCTACATGGCTACAATACAATGGCTAAAACATTGGCTATTTCTATCCAATTGTGGGTTATAAATATACTAATTAAGCTTGCTGTAGCCGGTTGTATTGAGCTCTACTGTTCATTCAGGAGGCCAGTTAGTCAGGTCTTGTATAAAGGGTGTATGATGTGCTGTCATTACATTTTCAGTACGTCCTCATTAACAATTAATTCTTCATTTACCAGTGGTAGGCATTCAGGTAAATGCCAGTGTATGGATTAAGAATTGGTTAACAGAGAACAGAGGGTACAGATAAGGGGGGAATACTCCAAATGGGGTGATGTAATTAGTGGAGTACCACAGGACCTCAGCTAGGAACACTTGGATGAAGTTCTAGGTCAGGCAAACACCTGTCAAAATGACATTTAATGTAAAGAAGTGCAGGGTTTTGGATACAGGTAGCAAAACTATATAAAAAGGAACATTCTAAGCTAGAAGAGGCTACTTATGAAGAAGACTTAGGTGTTTCTGATGACATTTCTATCTTCTTGATATGTGAAAAAGC